TAAGGAAAGAAAAAGCAGCAATTCCCCCCATGTTGTTCCGGCACAGTATGAGTATGACATTGATAAATCAGACCATTTACAATTCTTCTGTGCATAAGGACATGTTAATATTCCCCTGCTGGGAATGGCCTAAAGACCCTTCAGTCAGTAGCACTACCCTGGTGGGCCGAAACATTTCTGAGCTGTGGAGATAATATTTCAAGAAGACGGAGACCAATAGAAGCATCACTCAGGACAAAGTCTTGTAGCAGCCATCAGAGAGCTTGCTGTGGAGCGGGGGTACGCGCTATACAAATTGTAATACTATTTATTTATTATCATTATTCTGTTTTGGTCACATTCGTAAACGACAATGTTATAGAAAACAATAGAGATAAGTAGATTGGTAAATAGTAATACAGCCGATCAAAAGAAAAACTGTACGCCTATCTCCTCATTCATAATTATGTTCGATTGGCCCATCTTTCCTTAAGCAAAAAAACCCATAGATCTAATTCTTATGAGCACAAATTGAAATATCGTTACGAAGTTTGTTAAGTCGATGTGGACCAAGACAGACAACATTTGTCGAGATGAAAAGTGATTGTCTCAGACAGGCAACGTCTTGGACATTGTCATTGTAATATTATTTTAAAATCGCTAAAGGTTGGGGGGGGGGGAGAGAGAGAAGTGGTCATTTGTTAAGGTGATTGTCTTGGACAGACGGCCCTTAGAGCATGTTCGGTTAGTCTTTCCCTCATCGACATGTCAAGCGTGCTGACAAAATGAGTTACTAATCGGATTCGAGCCCTATAAAATTAGATACATCACTCTTATGGGTGAAGTTTTTACGATTTATAAGTATGAAATAATAAAAGGCATGTTATACTTAAAGTATATGGTATCAATAGAATATCTACAAATTTGACCCAGTGTCGATTTTTGGCCAACATCTCTATTTGTGGATTGTAAGAAGTAACTCATTTTGTCAGCACACATCACAAATAATTCTTCCAAACACAAAACTGGAATGATATGAAGCATTTAACAGATAAATCAAGGTGAAAGGAGTACTTTTCCACAAAAGAACGTAGGCCTACCTTTTATGGCTGCAATTTGACAACTGGGGTAAAATCCAAAAGTCGCACATCAGTACGCCGCGTGATCTCTATATAATGCGTTCAGCAGATCAGCTGTGCATCTCCTGCGCTTAGCATACACAAATCTGCGAATGTCAGTCAGCCTGCAAATAAATGTTGTTCCTGGCATAAGTGGGGGCTTGGGGTAGCTGTGAAATTATTATATGTGAAGCATCATGGTGAAATCAGGCGCTCGTCAAAATAACAAAATAGGAGAAATAGGCATTTTCCCAAAAGTTTGGCAAATTTGATTAGATTTGTCTTTTTTGGCTCAACCCCTTATATTTCTATATAAAACACATTTCTATGTGAATTTTATTGAAAATCGTTGATTTAAGGCACAAAATATGTCATTTTTCAGTTTTCAAGAACTCGTTGTTAAGCTATTGGACTTACCAAACGTTGACAGCATTTACTCGTTAATTTCACCGCTGAAATCAGGCGACCCCACCTCCTTCAATTGCCAATATCTTGACTTCTATTCAAGACAGATGGGTCTTTTCTTTCGTAGAAAGCAAGGCATATGAATAAGCTTTCAGATGGTACCAATAACTTCACATGCCACGAAAATTGCGAGCGCCTGATTTCTCCACGATGCCTCACATATGGTTCTGGGACTGGTATTCATGTCACGAACATCGTGGTCAATCCTGTCCCTCGGGTACTCAACTGGGTTCAAATCAGGTGAAAGTGCAGGCCATAGAACCATCATAGTGATGTTATTCTGGATTGACAAAAAATGGGTGTGGAATGCGCTGTGCTCGGGCGCATTGCTCCTGTTACAAACAATGTTATCGGCTGATTATCATACAACAATTATGTGTGCATGCAATTATATAGCTACAATCCCGAATATTCCTTCAGTCAGCTTGCCGCGAATTGTATGCCTGACTGACGGGTAAAAGTCCAGGGGGAAGGACTTCCGTAACGAGCGACCACCTCTTCAACAAACACAATAAAGAAGAGACATAACCCTAACCTTGACCTAAACCCTTACCCCAGCCCTAACCCTCTATTCTACTCTGTTTCACAATGGTGGCTCGTTAAAAATAAGATTTTTGAGGATTTCCGTAACGAGCGACCACCACTCCAACAAACACAACAAAGGAGTGACCTAACCCCAACCATAACCCTAATCCTACCCCATACCTCTACCCCAAACCCTACTCCTACCCGAAACTCTACCCTTTCCCCAAACCCTATAACCCTATATTCTACTCTGTTTCATAGTGGTCGCTAATTACAGAATTCCTTCCAAATCTTATTTTAAAATCACAACGTACCGTTCTCTCAGTAGGCTGATAGTAAAGTTGTTAATGTCCTCACAAAAACAGAAACACTCACACAACGCGGAACATACCAGTGGCTTGATTTCTCTGATAGTGAAATGAACGAACCACCTTTCTACCTCTCTTTGGGTTACAATGAACACTTGTTAGATCTATTCACAAAACGCAGACCCAAAATTCATAAAGAAAAAAAAAGTTTTAAAAAAAAGAAAAAGGAATGAGAAAAGGGGGGGGGGGGAATTCACCTGATATCGGAGGGAACAAGATATTGATTTTCCGGATTTTTTTTCTCCTGAGTGCGGTGAACACAAACTGACCCCCGAAATGTTGTTTTTAAAAAATTGAGCTATTTTTCACACTACTCAGAGCTAGATTCTACTTGCGAGAAGGAAAAATTGGGAAGTCTGAATAAAAACTAGATGTGATATAGATCTAATATAATCAAATAGTGATGTTTTATTTTTTAAATCCCAAAGACAGACAAGCAGACTGATAGGCAGACGTCGAGGAAAAGGGGGGGGGGGGTAGAGAGAGAGAGAGGGGAAAAAGAGAGGAAAGGAAAGGAGACGAGAGAGAAAGAAGGAGAAAAAAAATGAGAGAGAGAGAGAGAGAGAGAGAGAGAGAGAGAGAGAGAGAGAGAGAGAGAGAGAGAGAGAGAAATGGGGAATGGAAAAAGAGAGAGGATTGGGCAGAGGCGAAAGAGAAAGAATAAAAAAGCGACAACATCTTCAATGTCTCTGTTCCTATTTTGACGAGTTGACCTTTGAAAATGGCTGCTAGATTCTCTTTCATTTCCCCTCCCCCCTTCTTCTCTCCCCTCCTCTCCCCCCTTTTCTCCCTTCCTCTTTCCTCTCTTTTCCCCTCTTTTCTCCCCTCCTCTCTCCCCCTCTCCCAACTCCCCTTCCCCCTTTTTCTCCCCTCCTCTCCCCTCCTCTCTCCCTCCTCTCTCCCCTCCTTCCCCCTCCTCTCTCCCCTCCTTCCCCCCCTCCTCTCTCCCCTCCTCTCTCCCCCCTCTCCCTCCTCTCTCCCTTGCTTCCCGCCCGCCCCAGGCTGTGTGACGGCTGAATCGCCGAGACACTTCATTATGGGGCAGAGGGCTCGGGTTCATATCCCCTATGGCAGTCTTCAGGAACCCTGATCGTCTGGAAAGTTGGGGGTTCATTTTTTCTTCTTTTTTTCTTTCTATGTTTTCTTTTTTTTATTTCTTTTTTCTTCTTTTTTCTTTTCTTTTCTTTTTCTTTTTTTTTTTTGGGGGGGATGGGGGAGGGGATGTTGTTTTTTTGCTTCTTTCAGGCTTTCTTTCTTTCTTTCTGAATCTGCGCAAAAGTCCTTCACGAAAGGGATATCAGTTTGTTAGCCCTCGTTCTAGAAGAAAATCTCAATTTTCTTCGGAAAGTCAGTAACATTTTATAATTATCAATCGTGGCATTGTGGTGAAATCAGGCGCTTGTTAAAACAGTGAATTTGAAAAATCCTACAATTCTCTTCCAATTTGGGCATTTTTTAAATTAAAATTTTCTGTTTTTTTCCTCGTGACTTTTTTGTCCGTACAAAAACACATTTCTGTGTGGGTTTTTTTTTTTTACATTGATGAAAGGTAGACAAAAATTGTGGATTTGCAGTTTTCAAGGACTCTCAAGTTTCAGAAGTCACGCAAATTTGGCGCTCGTTTTCTCGCTAAATTTTTCCTCTGACACCAGACATCCCTCACCTTCTTCAATAAAAAAATGTTTTACTTCTTTTTAAGATAGATAAGTATTTTTCCATCAAAAGCAAGGGAAATGAGCAGGCTTTAAAATGATGTCAATAACTCCATATACCGACAATTTGACGAGCGTCTGATTCCACTGCACCTTGACACAAAATATTCTCAGCGACTTCTCGTCTCCTTCTATTACAAAAAGCGATATATATAATAATATTATTCTAGACTTTGGCTATTACGGCTTATCTCAAGTTTGCCTGCTTGGATACTGTCTGAGAAATTATTATTTCCATGGTCTCTTCCAACAGCCAACCATCTGGTCAAGTTCTCTTCGTAAATTATTCTTGATCTACCTCTGATTCTTTTGCCTTCTATTTTTCAAGTGAGATCAAAATTTTAAAGTCAAGTTTAATTCGGCTGAGAGGGATACAACATCCATTAGAAGAACTAAGATGCTCGATGAAAACATTTTTCTCCCCACCTGGGAATCAAAGTCGGGTGTCCTGCATACGACAGTCAGGAGGGATACAACATCCCAGCAGAAAAACCGAGATACTTGATAAAATCCCCCCCCCCCCCACTCGGGAATGGAACTCAAGCGTCCTGCGAGCCACAGCCAGCTAAAACGTCTAACCACTACACCTCTCTCGACGCCAGCTCCGTAGATGTGCAACATGACAGGCAGCCGGGGGGTGGGGGATGGGGGGAAGGGGAGACAGGGGGAGGGGAGAGGAGGGGGTCTATTGACGACCTGACAACCCCAATATTTCGCCCGCCCTTCGGCCTCTATTTACCAGGACAATTTATTATGAAGGTTCGTCTGCTTTGATGCTGTCAAAGAAACGACATTTTCATGGTCTTTTCCAAAAGCCAACCATCTTGTCAAGTTCTCTTCGTAAATTATTCTTGGTCTACTTCAGCTTCTTTTGCCTTCAATTTTTCAAATGAGATTAACATATCAAGACAAGGTCAACCCGGCTGGGAGGGATACAACATCCCATCAGTAGAACTAAGATACTCGATGAAAACATTTTTCTCCCCACTTTGGAATCGAAGTCGGGTCTCCTGCATGCGACAGTCAGGAGGGATACAACATCCCAGCAGAAAATCCAAGATACTTTATAAAACTTTTCTCCCCACTCGGGAATGGAACTCGGGTCTCCTGAGCACAAAAGCTAAAATGTCTACCCGCTACACACCAGACGCCGGCAGTTCCATAGACCCAGATGTGCAACAGGCAGCCGGGGAGGGGGAGGGGGGAGGGGGGAGGGGTGTCTATTGAAGACCTGACAACCCCAATATTTCGCCCGCCCTTCGGCGTCTATCTACCAGGACAATTTATGAAGGTTCGTCTGCTTGGATGCTGTCAAAGAAACGACATTTTCATGGTCTTTTCCAACAGCCAACCTTTTGCTTCAGTCCTCTAGGTCAATTATTTTTGGTCTACCTCTGCTTCTTTTGCCCTCTATTTTTCAAGTGAGATTAACATTTCAAGACAAGGTCAACCCGGCTGAGAGGGATACAACATCCCAGCAGAAAGACCATGACACTCGATGAATATAATTTTCTCCCCACTCGGGAATCGAACTCGGATCTCCTGTGAGCAACAAAGAGGAGGGATACAACACTCCAGCAGAAAAACCGAGATGCTCGATTGGATTTGTCTCCCCACTCGGGAATCAAACTTGGGCCTCCTGTGCACGACAGAAAGCTAAAACGTCTACCGGCTACACCCCGGACGCCGGCAGTTCCATAGATGTGCAACAGGCAGCCGGATGGGGGGGGGAGAAGGGAAAGAGGGGGGAGAGGAAAGGGGGGGGGGTCTATTGACGACCTGACAACCCCAATATTTCGCCCGCCCTTCGGCCTCTATTTACCAGGACAATTTGTGAAGTCCCTGTCCCATCGAGTAATCCCTGGCTTAATATCATAGCCGGCATAATCTGGGCAGGACATGATGGAATCCCCATCACTCCGACAAGGAAAGATTCATTATCTCCCCATTCCGGAACCCTGCCTGTCCTACACTGCTCCCAGCTTGGCGGGCAATCCGGGAGATTTTGGCGGGGAATCCGGTGGATTTTGGCGGGCTTCTAACTCGAGACCTTC